TCACAATACATCATTATCATCATAATAGTGATTTTTCATAAAGTGAATCAATAAACCCTAGTTAGGAGATTGGTGGTGAATCCAACAACCTTAAGCTTATCACTTCCATATTTCAATTTTATATTGCTTTTATTTATTTTTAGTTTTTAATTAATTTAGTTATCACCATATGAACAATCTTTGTTGAATTCATTTAGGAATTATTCTGAAAATAACGCACACTTAGCCTCTTTATCCCCGTTGGAACGATACCTGGTCTTAACTGCCATTCTAAAGAGTAATAGCTTCTACTTGGTTTTTAATATTTATTTTTGGTGTGAGAAACAACCCATCAAATTTTGTATGTAACTCCATTTGCTTTAAGTCAAAATTGATTCATGTTTATTATCATAAATTCATGTTCAGTAGTTCACTTATTTTACATAGTGGAAAATCCAATACAAAAGGCCCAATTCAACCAGCATTAGTACATTACATTCCAATAGTCAAAAATAGAAAAAATAAAACAGCAACCAGAACGTTGTTATTATTATTATTTTGATAAGTAAAAGGTAATTGCATTAACGAAGGTACCACAGGGGCACCACCCCTATGCAAGGGGGGGGGGGGGGGGGGGAGGACCAACAAACACTACAACCGAAAGACATCATGAAGAACCTAGCCCTGGCCAGCTCCCACCGCTCCACCCTCTAAACTTCAGCCTCATTCCGATCTTCATAATTTATGGAGCACTCAATTCTTCTTAATTCCGTCTCCTTCCAAGAGGAAGACATTCCTTCTCTCTGATTCTTCCCAACCGTTAGAGCATATTGCCACAATCTTTTGTCAGTTTCCTCAAGTAACTTCTCTGCTTCTGCCTCAGAAACAATATATGAAACCCCAACAAACTGCTAACACTTTTCATGTTCTGCTTGTTCCATTCTGACCACTTGATGGCGAACATGGAAGGGAGAAAAATGGCAACTCTAGAATTTCACTTGGAGCACATTTAGAACATCATAGATATAAGTTTTGAAATAATTTTGAATATTTATTTGTAATTATTTTAATTTAGTATGCTTTTGGACAATTTTTATGTCATTGTAGTAGGTCTTAGTAGTTAGGATTACTATGGTAATTAAAATTCCTATTCAGCTAAAAGATTAAAATCCTAATTTCTCACCCCACCTACTCCTTCCCCAACACCATTGGTGCCACTTCACTACCATCCCTCCCCTCCTTCCACCACTCACTGCTGTTTGTATGCTAATGAAGCTACTTAACTTTGAGACCTTAGCTTGTAAATCATACATTTATATAATATTTTTTGTTTGGCAAGTGATGCTATCTTTTATTTTGTGAGGAAGATGGGTGTGGAATGGTACTCACGTTTGTGGAATCATACATTTACATATTCAGTGATTATCAAATACGAAGATCAACATACGAATCTACAGTGGTTCGACTACTTACGTATAACCACTTGTGTTGAAGGTTTGAAGCCACACTCGCTCAAAATCATGAAATACTCCACAGAGAAATCTCTTGAGAAATCTCTTGATCTACAACTGTGTTGAAGGTTTGAAGTCACTCAATTTTTTTTTTTATCAACAACAAAGGACTTTATTGATAAATCAAAAAAAGGAAACGAGGATGAGGCTTCCTCGTACAAAAAGACAATGAGAGTACAAAGAGCAAAACCCTAGAAAGATAATCTCAAGCAAAAGCCTACATATCTCACACTGCCAACCAATCTCTATCTAACAAAAAAAAGTGGGACTCCATTAAATAGAGAATTCCCCAAACCCAAAAAGAAGTTAAGTGACATTATCCTACAAACAATCCAACTCCTGGAACTTATCTTCAAACAACCTCGCATTTCTTTTCATCCATAAAACCCAAAAAATTGCAAAGACAACACAAGACCATAGCATTTTGGCTCTCTTCGACCCTTTGAAGGCGCGAAAGTCAACTAGGAACATGTGCGCACTCCTTTTTGAGGCTACCCATATAACATTCCCCCAAAAAAACAATCTGTGCCATAAATTCAAAGCAATTGGACAATGCAAAAATAAATGATCCACGGATTCTCCATTCTTACGACACATAATGCACCATTGAGGATTTAGAAAGCGATTAGGTCTGTTTCTGCAATGTATCATTTGTCAAAATGCCTTTATGAACCAAGGCCCACATGAACACCTTCACCTTTAGAGGAGCACAAGCCTTCCAAATTCTTTTGCAAAAAGAAAATTGAGGAACATGAAGATTATCAATGATTTTATCAAAAAAAGACTTACAAGAAAATATCCCGAATGAATAAAGAACCCAAACCCTCTTGTCCTTCAAAAGAGGAGCCAAAGAAAAACGATCAATTCTGGACAACAAAGAAGTCAACAATGAAGCCTCCCTATCATTAAGATTCCTAGCAAAATCAAAATTTCAAAAAACTGGAGCCACAAGTGAACAAGCTATGGAAGCAATAGAAGAATTATGAGATCAAGCCACTCTATGGAGATGTGAAAAATCAGAAGCAAAAGAAGATTGACTTATCCAAACATCCTCCCAAAATCGAACAAGTTCCCCATTACCCACCCTTACAGAAAGATGACGAGACCAACATGTGTAGATTTGAGAATTGATTTCCAAAGAACACAACAGTTACCCCTTAGAACCACCCATAAATCTCTGCCATTGTCTTGAGTCCCACACTTGCTTCTAATAATCAAATGCCATAATGAATCACTCTCAAGTGAAAATCTCCATAACCCCTTGCTAAGAAAGTCCATGTTCCTAGTCAAAATGTTACCGATAGCCAAACCTCCCTTCTCCTTAGGTAATGAAACTAAATCCCAATTCACCAGGTGATCCTTCTTCCTCTCATCTTTTCCCTCCCAAAGAAAATTCCTCATTAACTTTGCTAGTGACCTTGCCACCTTAACTGGAATCTTGAATAAAGATGAGAAATAAATGGGAATACCAATCAAAACAGTCTTAACCAAAGTGTATCTACTCCTGCGTGACAACAAAGCCTTACTCCACCCTTCCAATTTCTTGCCAATCTTTTCCACAACTGGATTCTAAAAAGCTTCACTTCTAGGATTACCTCCCAATGAAAGACCCAAATACTTAAATGGAAGTAACTCTATACCACATCTTAAAAGTGTCACCCTATTCTAAAGCTAATCTTGCTGCATATTAATGCACACCACACTACTTTTCTCTAAATTAACCTTAAGCCTTGAGATTACCCCAAAAAGTCTCAAAATGGAAAAAAGATTAACTATCTGACTTTCACCCCTAAAGAAAAAAAATATGATATCATCCACATATTGTAAATGTGTCACACTAACTCTATCCCTCCCCACCTCCAATCCAGCAAAAAGACCTTCTTGAGCTCTATCAACTATCTTTCCCAATACGTCAGCCACCAAAGTAAAAAGAAAATGAGATAGTGGGTCCTCTTGTCGTAACCCTCGTGAAGTCCTAAAACAATCCCCTAGTTTACCATTAACTAAAACTGACATATTGCAAGTCAACAAACATCCCCTAATCCAAGATCTCCACCACCCACCATAACCCTTCTTGTCCATTACAAAATCCAAAAATTGCCAATCCACATGATCATATGTCTTCTCGAAATTCACAATAAAAATAAGTCCCTCCTTCCCTAGGCTTCTATATTCCTCCACTACTTTATTTGCCACTAAGGTTACATTTAAGATTTGTCTTCCTTTCACAAAAGCCTCTTGCGCCATAGACACAGTCTCCCCCAAAGAAATCCTTAGTCGTTTTGATAAAACCTTCCCTAAAATTTTATAAAGTGATGTGACCAAATTGATGGCCTAAAATCTCAAATTCTTGCAACATTCACTTTCTTAGGAATTAAACAAATGAATACAAAAAGGAGTTAGATTCACTCTTATTTCGTGATTGTGAAGTTGTTGGCATGACAAAGCTATTATGGGCCTATATTGGTCGACCAACCTACGTAGTCTAGTCACCAATTGAACCGAAAATAATCTAGGTCGACAACCACCTATGTTGGTCGATCAAGCTAACCAACATAGCCCTGTCTTCTTGGTCCTAGCCTCATTGAGATTCGTCCTTCTCCTTCATTTCAGTGAAGCTTGTCCTTTAACTTCTCCCATGAATCTTTCAGCTTTCCTGGGACTCCAAGCTTGCCAATGTGCATCCAACGTCAGTGATATAGGTTCCTACTTCAAGTTGCAGTCCTGAAAATGCCATCGTATGCTAATCCTAGCACTAACGCTGCTCATTTATGACAGTCCTAAGTACTTATCCATTAAGTAATCTCCTTAGCTCCTTGGCTATCAAGTACATAAATGCTTGGGAAGGCATACATTGGATTCTGGCTTTTTCTTGTAAAGTAATACATCATAACTAGGAACAAAAGAATTAAACAAGATCCATTTTATGTCTTATTTCTTGTATTTTTCATTTTTGTCTTTTTAGCTCTTTTTTAAGCAACTTCTTTTATTCTTGTTTCCTTTATTTTTTTTTAGGGGGGAGAGGGGCTATGAGTTATGAGCCTATTGCCACAAATGAATGAAGAATTAAATGTTTTAACAAATCACTAATTCTTCAAATGGCTTAGTAAGATAAAACTAGCATAAGCTACCAAATGAATATATATTTTCTTGGAAAATGTCATTCTAATCAATACATATTCAAGGAACAGCACGAAATAAAAATATCCCACCTTGCACATCAATGAACTGTAGTTGCTGTAGGATTACAGACAATTGAAATGCATATAACTACAAAAAAATGAATTCTGCATAGCAAGACACATATTTAGATACATCCACGAGTGCGTTTTTGTTCATATTAATGCATGTCAACCATATGATATCTACTGTTGTGTTTTGCCAGTACTTAAGCAGAACATAACCGAAGTGAAGGCGGTAGTAACCGTGGAGAAGCAGAAGCATGTTCACTGCTTAATAAGGAATTTTAAGGAAAGGATGCCAAAAATCATAAAATTTAGAGAATATTACCATAGGAAGTCATAATAATGGATAGAACAGGGGTGCGATGAGCCTGCCATGAAAGAGTCTCCCTGAAAGAAGTGGCGTCTAGTGGCTGGTCCATCTTCCAGGACCTAATTCGACCATCCCTGTGCCCACTCCACACCACTCTATTCGCAGCATCCGTAATCAGGCAGATGGTTGGGGATGTGTGGTAGGATTCATAAAAAGGGGCGGACTCCTCATCTCCACTGGGGGGAGTCATTCCAAATCCAAATCCAATTCCAATGGGATCATAGAGTTGCGATAAATTCCAGAACCTGACTCCGGAATCGGAGCCAGCCCACAATTGATTGTCTGTAGAGTGTAGAGTCCTGAGAAAGCAGCCAATTTGGGGGGTCTCCCTGAGCCTGAGGGGGTGAGGCCTCAACTCGAGGCTGGGGGGTCGGCCTGGATGGACTGCTGCTCGAAGTGGAAGCTTGAAGATTCCAGTTCCTCCGCCGCTAGCCACGAACTCCGGCAGAGATCGAATTTCTGAGTTGTTAGGATCATTATGATTTTTATCGTCTGGGGAGGATAGTTTGCGGTCCAAGAACTGAATCATGTAATCAAGGCGCTTGCCGGCACTCTGGACGGTGACATTCTCAAGACCACAGCCGCCGCCGCTGCCGGTAGAGTAGAAGTCATCGTCGTCGTCGGATGAGGAGGAGCCATAGAATCGATCGAATATCTTAAGAGGGGTGCGAGTAGCAGTGTTATTGTTAGGAGGAGGATCCTCCCCCTCGTCCAGGCTGAATCCCTTCAGTTGGATGTATGGTTGTTGTTCCTCTTTGTCGTCGTCGTTTTCTTCTTCATGGAGGTTTGCTGAGACTCCCAATTTGGCATCAATAGGACGAGGGGGAGGGGAGCTCAGCGACGCGAAAAAGTCTCCGTCATCGTCTTCGAGCCGCCTTGCCATGTTCGAGAGAATCTAGAGAGAAGAGAGAGAGGATATAGACTATAGTATAGAGAGAGAATTGGGGGGAGGAAGAGGAAGAGAAACCGGGCGGGCTGGTCGTGTTGGGATTGGGGGAATTCAGACAGAGAGTCAGCTTCTAAATCTTTTGTGTTTGACCTTTTTTATTTTTTTTGTTGTAATTTTGTTCCTCCCAGTTTTAACCGAAGGGGTGTGGCAAGGTCTTGAGGCAGATTCCACTCTCCCAGGCCAGTCAACTGGGCCACAGTACATGTATAGAACGCATCTTTTAGGCTGAGACAGATGGTATCCGGCATTAGAAGTGGGAGTTCGAATTTCATCTGGATATATAATTGTGTGGAGTATGAGTTTGAATTCCGTCTGTATAAATGATTGAATAGTCTTATTATGTAACACTATTTAAGGTGATTTCATGTCATCTCTCTACAATTAGACATGTTTTGTATATATAGTTGAGTCTCTCTACAATTAGACATGTTTTGTATATATAGTTGAGTGGCTTTGTTATGTAGTATCATTTACAGAAAAATCTCAAGTCAATCTTATGTGATTAGACCTATTATGCCAAATTTATACTTTCTCATTTTTGAATGACTAATGCGAGGTGTATTCTTACATATTTGTATAGGCTAATCACAACTTAACATGTGACATGTAAAGAATAATTTAGGGAGTTAATGCAAGTCTCCAATCAGCGACAGATACGTGACAGTTCATATTGGTAATGATGGGTCTACGTAACATGGAAGCAATTAGAAGATTCGAGGTGACATGGCCCAAGGGTCACTCACAATTCAAAGTCAAATTCAAGAGGGAAGCCCAACTGTAAGGAAGGTGTAGTAGAAGCAGATTGTTCAAGGCCATAACCAATGATTGTGGAAGGGCATTTCGACGGTTAGAAGTCCACTTCAACAGCTATCATTGGAGAGTATAAATAGAAGAGGAGGCTAACAGAAGAAGGCCCAGACTCAGATCCAGAAACCAGTTATTTACTTCATATTTTCTTTCTAGTTCTTTATATTTCTAGCTCTTCAATTCTTGTACTGCACTTCAGTTCCGATGAATAGTTTCAAGTAGTTTGTTGCGGTGAATCTCTTCGTGACTGGGTCATTTTATTGTAAGTTCTTGTTTATTCAATGAAATTCAGTTTCTAAATTGCTTTTGTACTTGTCATTACTTATAAGTTTCTCTTAAGCAAGCCACCAGTAAAAGTCCTCTTCATTGAGGCTGAAAAAATTTCAACACAATCATCTGATAATTGGTTAACAATTAAAATTATGTAAGGACTTATTGATCTTTACTGACACGCTTAAAATTATATAATTAATCTTCGAAATTCAAAAAAGCCAACATATATTTTTGGCACGCCCAGTGAGACCTTAAAAATGGCTAGATGTAGAGTAAGAGGAGAAAATGAATGCCTGAAAGAGGGTGTGGAAGGATAATGCAATATCACATCCTAACCCAGAGGATAATGCATTATCACATCCTATGGACGCACCTGTCTCATCAGATCCTCCACAAATGGTCGAACAAACCAGCACTTCAAAATATGCAACACATGTCCAACATACTAGATAAGGCTATGAAACTAGACCTTCAATTGTTCCTTCTACCCAACCAATGAATCCATTGGGAGGTTTAGTAGATGCTATGAGACAACAACTAATGTGTACAATGGAAATATGGGCCACATCCTTTTTGGATCAAATGAACTGTTATCAATTGTCGTAAGACAGGCTGAAAAAAACATGAATTGTCTTCAGCATAGATTGACTCGAGATAAACAGCCTATGCAAAATAATAGACAAACTAATGGTCAGACTAGTAATCAAAATCATGAGAGGTCATCACCCATGCCTCAGTCATGGTATGAAGCTCCTTCGAGACCGTTGGTAAATCAAAATGTACCATTACCTACTAGTGAAACCATACAAATTGGTGAATCTTGGCCAGCAGAAAAGAATGGCATGAGGATGTTTTAAAATCCCATGTTTGAAACCATACCTGGCACACGGGGATTCACTAATCCTGTATTTGAATTTACACTCGGAGGATTGGAAGGGCTTTGTAACGACCCCAAAATGCGTATAAGGAATTATTTTTATTTACCTATGGGTTAATGTGCTTCAATTTAATTATATACCCAACCAATGAATCCATTGGGAGGTTTAGTAGATGCTATGAGACAACAACTAATGTGTACAATGGAAATATGGGCCACATCCTTTTTGGATCAAATGAACTGTTATCAATTGTCGTAAGACAGGCTGAAAAAAACATGAATTGTCTTCAGCATAGATTGACTCGAGATAAACAGCCTATGCAAAATAATAGACAAACTAATGGTCAGACTAGTAATCAAAATCATGAGAGGTCATCACCCATGCCTCTGTTATGGTATGAAGCTCCTTCGAGACCGTTGGTAAATCAAAATGTACCATTACCTACCAGTGAAACCATACAAATTGGTGAATCTTGGCCAGCACAAAAGAATGGCATGAGGATGTTTTCAAATCCCATGTTTGAAACCATACCTGGCACACGGGGATTCACTAATCCTGTATTTGAATTTACACTCGGGGGATTGAAAGGGCTTTGTAACGACCCCAAAATGCGTATAAGGAATTATCTTTATTTACCTATGGATTAATGTGCTTTAATTTAATTATATCTGTTCGAATTGAAGAATTATCTGTTGAGTTACGACTTTAAAACTGGAATTGACGACCTTTATGGGTTTAGAAATCGGAATTCAGTACATAGATATGTTAATGGAAATTTTTAGAGCTATTTGGGAAAATTAATTGGAAATTTATTTCGCCAGATTCGTTAAGGTATGTTTGGGTGGTTAACTTTGCACTGCAAATTGAAGGCCTTAGAGGCTTCAGAAACCAGAACGGAGTTCATATTTATGATCAGCATAATTTTTAGAGTCATCTGAGAAGTTTAATTGAAATTTGATTTTATGCGATTCGTAAAGGCATGTTTGGCCCTCCCTACTTGTGGAGAGCTTTTATATATATATATATGTCATATGAGTTGTTGAACTCATAAAGTGGAGTCCAAAAATATCTAAGGGAGGGGGGAGAGAACCGTGAGTGAGAGAAGAGAGACAAAGCTTCTCTAAGAGAGAACTCAACATCCATGAGAGTTTGAAGCTAAATGGAAGAGATTAAAGAGAGAGGAAGAAGATCATCCATGGAAGCTTGGGAAATTGAAGAAAGCTAAGAGAAAGACAAAGATTGAACAGAGGTATGGAAGTCTACCTTAAATTCTTATGTTTAATGCATTACTTTCATGAAGGTATAGTGATATTGGAAGATTTGAAACCCATTTGAGTTAGGGTTCTACGTATGTATTTAATTGAACTCAATTTAAGAAGTGAGGCCTTGGGTTCTATGATTTTGGTTACGATTGGAACTCAACCTTATAAATACCATATGAATGAACCCTAGATTGTCCATAGAATAAGGTTATGTAAAGATCAAGTGTGTTGTGAGTTACAATTTGGGAACTTGCAAATTATGAAAGATAAAGCATTGATCTTGAACTTGAGGCAAAGATGATTTGTTTAAAATGGAATTACACTTGAATGATGATAGTTTATCTTGTTGTGGGACAATTTTACATGTTTTTGTTTGATTTGAGTTGGAAACCAAGCTTAGAAATGGAAAGAGCAAGAGTTAGAGCAAACAACATTTTCAGACAGCAAAACTGACCCAGAGCCGCATGTAGACGCGCCCGCGTGAATGAACCCTAGATTGTCCATAGAATAAGGTTATGTAAAGATCAAGTGTGTTGTGAGTTACAATTTGGGAACTTGCAAATTATGAAAGATAAAGCATTGATCTTGAACTTGAGGCAAAGATGATTTGTTTAAAATGGAATTACACTTGAATGATGATAGTTTATCTTGTTGTGGGACAATTTTACATGTTTTTGGGTGATTTGAGTTGGAAACCAAGCTTAGAAATGGAAAGAGCAAGAGTCAGAGCAAACAACATTTTCGGACAGCAAAACTGACCCAGAGCCACACATGCGGCAGAGCTTCCAGCACGTGCGGCAGTCCATTTTCAGATTCTTCTAAAAAAGCACGTGATCCCACACGTGCAGCAATTCTCGCACGTGCGGCCCTGTTTCCCGCAGGTGTGGGAGAGCTCTGTTCAGCCAACTTCGAATAAGCATATCTCTTGCATCCGAACTCCGTTTTGAGTGATTTTTGAGCCTAAATTCAAGCCCTGAAAGTCTAGTTTCCAATGGTGGTGGTCTCACTCCCACATTTTCAGTACACAAATAGTTATTCCCAAATCAGTGACGATTGTTCACTTTCTGTCTACCAGTTTTATACCATTTCTCCTTCTAAACCATTTTCCTTTCGACTCCTCCTATTTTCCTAGACACGGATTATGAACTATTGAGGACTAATGAGTTTAGAACCACCATGACTAATTGATTAAAGAACAAAAAAGAGATTGATTATATCCTTATATTATGCTATTTGCATTGTGTTGTAGGTCAAGACGAGGACATCGTCCTATTGCTACAGAAGCCAATCACTGTGAGTAATAGTAGTGTAACGATATGTTTTATTTACTTCTTGTGGTTATGACTATTATATCGTGGCTTGTAAATAGCATATACTATGGATATTATGCTTTAGTTGAATTAATGGACATGATTGAACGATGGCATTGATATGGGCCTAAGGCCATTCTGTATTACATGTGGACCCAAGGCCGTTCTGTATTATATGTGGGCCTAAGGCCGTTCTGTATTACATGTGGGCCCGAGGCCGTTCTGTATTATATGTGGACCCGAGGCCGTTCTGTATCATATGTGGGCCCAAGGCTGTTCAATATTACATGTGGGCCTGAGGCCGTTCCGGAATACAATCATGGATAGGACCTACGTATGGTTTAATATATGTATATTATATTCCTCAAGGTTATGCTCATTCACTTCACCTTCTTACATTGGTATTATTCACTGAGCCTTGCTCACTCTGTTTTATGTATCTTATGTAGGTGAACCATCGGGGATTGACACTAGAATTGTATTGAGATCTACCTGTCTGCCAAATCACCTGGGGTACGCCTTCGTGTTGAGGCCTTAATTTTGATTACCGGGAGTTATGAAATTTACGGAGTCTTATATAAAAGTGTGTGTGAAATCTGTATAATTCTGTGATTATTGTAAATGTGGGGACGTAATTAAAGAATTACATTATTCTAAATTTTCATGTATGCGCAAGCTCAATGGGCATTTTATCTA